AAGGGCGAAAGCAAATTCATTGACATAGTTATCCCAGCTTTTATGAAAATTTTTAACATAACTACGGATAATTTTCACTATATTTCTGTTGACCCGTTCCGCTATATTTGATTGCGGCCGATACGGGACCATTTTTAAATGACGTATGCCCAGTTTTTGGCACATGTCTTCAAATATATTACTTACAAATTGAGGACCATTATCCGATATAACTTTTAGGGGCGCCCCGTATTTTAAAATATATTTATTTAAAATAGAATCGGTAACTAATTTCGCGGAGGCTCGTTTTAAGGGAACAATTTCGGTCCATTTACTAAAATGATCAACCATAACAAGGAGATAGCGACTTTTATTTAACTGACTTTTTGGGAAAGGGCCCAATAAATCGATGCCAATTATTTCATTTGGAAATTCGGATTTAATACTATTTAGAAACCCGGCCGGGCGGAAATTAATATAATTAACGGCTTGACATGTTGGGCAGGACTGGACATACGCCCTTGTTAACTTTTGCAGTTCAGGAAAGTAGACTGCCTCGCGTACGCGTTGGATAGTTTTTCGAATACCAGCATGAGAAGCTAAAGGGCTGTCATGGAGCTCTTGCAGGATATTTAATCTAAGACTAGCTGGGATAACAGGTCGAAATTCGTTGTTGGAATTCGTAGTTTTTGTATAAAATAATAGACCATCTATTAGTTCGTAATGGGCCGCCCTATTTCTTATCGCCACAATATCTTGGTGGCTAAAATTTTCAGGATCCTTCAAATACTCATAAATACTTCCAAACTCAGGATCCTTACCCAGTTCGGTTATTACAGTTTCTCGGGAATTTATTGTACACGCTGTCAGCATTGCAACTTTTACGGTATTACCCTGTTCGTCTAATTTTAATTCGTGATAGGGCATCTGCTACGATATTTTCCTTTCCGGGGGTATGCTTGATTACCAGATTATATTCTTGCAGCTTGAGTGCCCATCTTATTAACCTTGGGGATAAATTTTTTCCCTGAGTACAATCTAGTTACCGCCGCATGATCAGAAGTATACTGTTATCGGCGCCTTTCCAAAATAGACTCGGAACTTTTGCACTGCTAACAGAACTGCAAGTGCCTCTCTCTCGGTCGCGGAATAGTTTCTTTGTGTTTGATTTAAAGTTCGGCTAAAAAATGCCACGGGCTGCTGATTTTGCGAAAGTACCGCTCCTACCGCATAATCCGAAGCATCCGCTGAAATTTCTAAATTTTCATCCTTTTCAGGAAATTTCAACACAGGGGCTTGCGTTAATGCTTGTTTTAATTTTTCGAAAGCACTATTGGCTTCGGCCGTCCACGAGAATCTTGCCTTTTTCCTTTTTAATTTTAACAATGGCTCAGCGATAGCCGCAAAATCTTTTATAAAGGACCTATAATATGAACAAAGTCCTAGAAAAGAAGAGAGCTTCTTTGCCGTGTGTTTGGAGTCGGATACTTTTGTACAGCGATTATTTTTGATTCATCTGTCTCGATCCCTTTTTGCGATATTTTGTAACCTAAATATTTTAATTCAGGGGCTGCAAATTTGCACTTTTCGACATTAACTTTTAGACCGGCCTCATTTAATAAAGAAAACACCTGTCTTAAATCCTGTACATGTTGGTCGAGATTATCACTAGTAATAATGATATCGTCTAAATAGATAAATGTGGACTTTCCAAGAACAGGTCTTAACACAATGTCCATGCATCGCTGAAATGTTGCTGGGGCGCCTGAAAGGCCAAACGGCATACGCAAAAATGCATAAGTGCCAGACTTGGTTATAAAAGCAGTCTTAGGCACGTCCTCAGGCCTGACCCCTATTTGAAAATAACCATTCGTTAAGTCTAAAGTCGTCATAAATTTGGTTGATTTTATGTTCCTTAAAATTTCTTCTATGATCGGTAACGGATATACCGGATATTTCGTTATGGAATTTAATTTACGGTAATCAATAGCGAATCTCCACCTTTTTGGATGCTCCAAAGGATAATCATTATTTTTCTTACATAAAACCACCGGGCTAGCATAACTACTTGAGATGGGCGTTATGATCTTTTTACGTAGCATATCGGTAATATGCCATTCTATAATTTTTTCCTTATTCTTATCATACCGGTATGGTTTTTGACGAACTGGCAATGCATCTCCGGTGTCAATACTATGGTTAGTAACCTGAGTAAATCCTGGAATATCACTAAATAACGAAGCAAATTCACTTACCACTTGTCGGATTCTATCTTGCTCGTCATTAGGCAGGTGGTCAAGATTTAACCTTGGCGGTTCAACCTTTTCTACACGCACTGGTTTCATTGTCAGCTTAAGGGACGCTTCATTAAAATCCAGTGTAGCTTGTGCGTCTGAAAGAAAAGTCTATTCCTAGGATTAAAGTGTGCTTGCAAATTCTTTACTATAAAAAACATCACCTTTACTTGTTCGTCCTTGATACGGATATACAAAGGTACTTTACCTACGCACTTACATTTTCTCCTTGCGCCGCTAATACTGTTCGTATTATCCGCATTATATATGCGGTATTTGCGAAAATACTTTCTAAAAAAGACTTCTGCCACACAGGAACACTGCGCGCCGGTATCCAGGAGTGCGGTGGCCGGGATATTATTTCACCAAGACTTCAATCTTCGGAAGAGTCAAATTTTTCACCATTACTGTATTTAACTTGTAGGAAGAGGGGTTTTCGTGGCCTTCGGATTTCCGCACCCTCTCGTCAGCAGAAATCCGTTTTAGTTTAAATTATTTTTCCTTTCCGTGCTTTCCTTCTTTTTCCACTGGCCTTGAGACTTTTTTCCTGGGTTGCTATTGAACTGTCGACGTTCGCCGGCTGTTTTTGAATGCTCGGGTTTCCTTGCCCACTGATTCGCTTTTTCTCCGTAGCCATGTGCTTGAGTTTGCTGTAGTCTTGGCGTACCAAATTGGTTTCGCTGTTGATATTGGCGTCTTCTTTCGACGTCCGCCGTTCTTCTACTTTCAAACTGGATTGCTAGCTCAAATAACTTTTCCAGTGTAGTCGGATTTCTTAATTCAATAAAGTCTTGCACTTGGGGGTAGTAACCTCGGCAAAATCACTTGAATTATTTCAGGATCCGGACGGTTTCCATACAAGAGCTTGAAAACGTGAATTTTTCTTAAAATAAAGCTCGAGAGGTTTTCGATTCTTTGTTGATATATACTGAAAAGTTCCGTTTCTAATTTCGCACGATCCCTTACAACAGGGAAGGCTTTTAGTAGGGCAGTCTTGAAATTTTCGTAAGTATAGGTGGGACTTCCTGCTTGACCCAAGAGACTTCTGCCGATACATTTGAACCAGTTAAGCGCTTGGCCCCTCAAAGCGCTGGTAGCTAAGGTAACTTTTTGAAACTCGTGCACGGGGGGGTAGAGCATGAAGTGGTCATCCAATTTTTCCAAAAAACTGGTTACCGGTGAGTTTCCATTAAACGTTGCTTCTGGTTTCATCGAAGCGCGCATGGTCTGGACGATGTAACCAAATCCTTCCAGGGCGGCAGCTGGCATTTCTGGATTCTGAGCCGTTTCTGCAGGCAGCACAGGTTCTTCTTGAAACTCGGCCATGGTTATTCTTCTTCGTTGGGCGCCACTATCAGGTTCAATGTTTCCTTCTAACCTTCTTCGGAAACATACAAGGACCTGACTAGGAACAGAGAGCTTACTAAAGCTATGTTCACTAATTGTAGTAAGTAGACAGGATACAGACGAAGGGTATACAAAACCCTTTATTTTTCTCTATATACAATAACTTCCGTACTTCGGAATACAATGACCCTCCACTCGGGGTCTAACGTAAAAGTATAAAAATAAAACTAAACTCTAATTTAACTTTAGAATAATAGAACGTGGAAGATTGGCCTTATAATAACAGGAAGCGTATGTAGCACAGAGACTGTGAACACTACAATACGTTTAATTTATCAAGAGGATTAAAACCTCTGGCCTGGAAGGCAAACAGCAACTGCGTAACTTCTAAGGTAAGCGGCCTGCTTCGAACTCACTGCTTCCTCTCTCTTGCTTGGCAAAAAGGCCACACTTAAATACTTGGCGTTCGCCAGACAAACTTTGCATAAAAACCTTCACGCTTATAATTCTGGCCGGAAGTAGAAAATAAGAAGTGATAGTAAAGATTTAAAATAAAATAAACGTTAGTAAACTTAAGATCCTTACACCTAGTTTGTACTTGTAACTGAAAGATCGATTGGATAATTTAAATCGGAAGGCGCACGGCATTTATTAATTAAAAAGCGGCCTTTTTTGGGAATAGAGCTATCTCAAAACAAATAGCAAAAAGGAAATTGAATGCCTAAGCAGAAACAACCGTGAATAATATTATGTTTCAAATGTTCAGAACTTAAAGCAGATAACCAGAATAACGCTTAGTGCCTGCAGTTATCAATATGTAAAAACTGTTATTAGTATGTAATATTCAACCTTGTTACTTTGGAGTCTTCCCCGCCGTGGTGGTATATAATTCCGTTTGGTTCATGTCCGTGGTCGGAAGCCATCATAGCGGTGCACTCACTCACTCCATGTATTGTGATTTCTTCTTAAACATTTACGAAATTTACCACTCCTTTAATTAGCCTGTGTTAAGGAATCTGTATCTCTCATGTAGATCACATCTAAAAATGAGAACATTCTTCGACTTTATATCCTAAGTACAGATCGATATTGAATATCACCTCTCTAAGGCGACTACCTCTGCAAAAGACCAAACTCTTCTAGAACTGTGGGTCGTCGTCTAAGAAGTATTCACTGTGCTTGGAAATACAGTGAACTCTCTAGTAGCGACCATCTCCGAAAGTGACCTGTATTTATCAGAACATAAAATGAACATTGGCATCGGATATTATTTCTCTGAGGGAAAGACTAGAAGAGACTAAAATTATCCATAAGTGGTCGTTTAAAGAGGGATTACTACACATTTTGATTTTATTTCAAAAATACATAATAAAATCTTACCGAGAAGCCAGCCAATACTAGTATTATTAACATCAGTATGCTCCATTAATAACTCGCGTAGACTATCAGAATGCCAAACGACAGAGTCTTTAGTGCTTCCAGGACAGTCGGCATTTACACTGAGTATCTGCATGTTAGCATCACAGACCTAAAATATATTCAACATAAGATTTTCATGTTCTCTAACGAAAGAAATAAATAGCAATACATTTGTTAAATTTTTATTATCCAAGACGTAAAATAAAATCGTTCATAATTTATACAAAATATGAGCTTGTATATATTTAGAGAGAGCATAGAACTAAAAAGGAAAGTTTCCAGAGATATGAAATTCGTCAGACAGACTTTCTAAAGAGTTTACATCTTGAAGGAACATCTAAGGATTCGATTTCGATACAGAGTTTTTTAAAGTTAACGCTGAAAGCACTTTTTACATGTATTCTCACTTAGCAATTGGATTAATCATCGCAAAATTTTAATCTCTGCTCCATCGAACAGATTAAGAAATAATATTTGAAAGAAGAAATAGATTTTGATCATTTTAAAAACATATTCTAGATTTCATTCATTATCTATCCAATATAAATTCTGACACATGTGTTAAGTTTAGGATTGTGTATCCATAGATCGCCAATAGATGGCGGTAGTGTTTGTTTGTAAAAAGAAACTGTGATGTCAATTATGTATATGTATCAGTTCGTCTTTGGTGTTCCTGAATAAATGTTGTGTGGAAGAACGCTCCTCTGTTTATTACTTTAACTGCGATCCAGTCTGATTTATTAGAGATTTACACATATTTTGTTTATGGTGCCTGCAAACCGGGATTATTACGAACCAGAAAATCGACAGACTGAATATTTCGAAAATGGAGGGCGTTCTTGAACATTTGAAAAAGAAACGATCGGTTGTTAGTTAGACAATTAACTACGAAACTGATAACCAAAGTCGAATCGAATTTAGCAAATAATATTCCGCTAAATGAGAAAATTGAGATAATCGAGGATTTATATGAACAGTTAATTGAGAAAATCAATGAACTGAAAAGTTTAGATTCAGAAATAGAAACGAAAGTAACTTCGGAGGAGATTGAAAATGAAGTTACCTTAAGTCAAGAATACCAGGATAAAACTGTTATATGGAGAGGAAGAATGCAACGATTTTTGAAGAAGAATTCGGAATCTTCTAGAACAGTTCATCAGAACGAAACGGCTAATGTTGCACTTCCAGTTGAAGCGAAAACAGTGAAGTTGCCACGTCTGCAAATCGGAACTTATTACGGAGATTCGTGTAAATGGTTAGACTTTTGGAACCAATTCGAAAATACAATTCATAATCATAGTGGATTGAGAAAAACTGAAAAATTTGCGTACCTAAAATCCTTACTTGGAGGTAATGCTTTAGCTGCCATTTCCGGTTTCGCTTTAAGTGACCAGAATTATGATTCCGCAGTAGAAATATTGAAAGAACGTTTTGGAAGACAAGATGTTGTTATCACCTCGCATATGAATAAATTATTATCCCTTGAACCAGTGGGAAACATTTCAAATGTTAAAGCACTGCGTAAGCTGTACGATGAATGCGAAGTCAACATTCGAAGTTTAGAATCGTTAAACGTTACTTCTGGAAGTTATGGAAATATTCTCTGTCCTATCATTTTGCAGAAATTTCCAGAGGAATTAAATTTGGAATTTAATCGAAGTCGAAATATGGAAGCAGGATTTGATATAAAGGAACTTATCGAATTCTTAAAAAAGGAAGTTAACTGTCGAGAAGCTGCAAGTTTAATGAACTCTGCGAAAACGAATCAGAAACCATACTTTCGTCAAAATGAACAACGCACGAAAGTTTATCCTAATTATAAACCGAAAGTTCCGACTGCTTCAGCTTTATCAACAATTGGATACAAATGTATATTTTGTGACAAAGAAGATCATACGAAATATAAATGTACTGAGGTGAACGCTGAAGAGAAACGAAACATTTTGAAACGTACAGGAAAATGTTTTCTGTGTTTTGGATGTAAACATTTAGCTATCAACTGTAAAAACAAACAGTTTTCCTGCAAAAAGTGCCGCGGTAAACATCATGAAAGTGTGTGTGTAAATCCCACATCAGCTGTCTCCAGTGTAAAAAATAAGGAAACCGAAACATCCGCGGAAATTGTTCAAAATTCTTCTGCCAAAACTGGATCTAATATTATGCTTCAAACGGTGTATGCTGTGGCTGAGGGCAGAAATAAGAATTGTATTGTGAGATGTCTTCTTGACGGCGGTAGCCAAATCTCTGCAATTCGCGAAGGTTTATCAAGAAAATTCCAGTTAACCAGTGAAAGGAGAAACTGTTTTAAATCTGCATACCTTCGGTGAAAAGAACAGGAAACATTGGCGGCGAAAGAAAGTTGAACTTACGCTCCGGAATATTAATGACCCTGAAAAATCCATAAATCTCGAAGTCATTGAAGTACCAGTCATAACAAATGACGATATACGAGTACCAGATGTAGAAATCAAATCCAACCTCCAAGCATTCGGCATCACTTTGACAGACTGTGATGGCGCCGGTGGAATGAGTCATATTTCCGTTTTAATCGGCGCGGACATTATGTGGAAAATAGCAAGCGAAGAAATAAAAAGGATAAACAGAAATGCCGTAGCGATGAAAACCTTGTTTGGGTGGTGTATACAAGGCAAATTTCCTTCATCAGACTTTGAAATCCATGATGCGTGTTTAAACGTAAGTGTAGAAGAGAAACTTCTAAAAAGCGTCGAATCGTTTTGGGATATTGAATCTATAGGAATTAAAAATATTTCTGACGAAGAACAAAATGAAATGGCCATGCAAATATTTAACAACTCGATTACACAAAAGGGTGATAGATACGAAGTTAGACTTCCATGGAAAGATCAGAATGTGACTTTAAGAGACAATTTTAAGAATGCTGAAAGACGATTTTTAAAGCTGATCGAACAATTTAAATCAAACTTGAACTTTTATGCGCAATATAAAGAAGTGATTGACTATCAACTTAAGGAAGAAATCATAGAAAAGGTCGATCTTGGTACTCCATCTGGGAGACGAACTTACTACATACCTCACCGTGCTGTCATCCGTGAAGATCATAATTCTACAAAGCTTCGCATTGTTTATGATGCTTCTTCAAAGGAAAAAATCATGAATCTCTAAATGATAATTTACTACAAGGACCAAATCTTCTTCCTGAACTTTTGAAAGTTTTAATAAATTTTCGACTTCATCGAATTGCATTTACGTCAGATATTGAGAAAGCGTTTTTTACAAATTTCTGTTGCACCTGAAGATCGGGATTCAATGCGATTTTTGTGGATTGATGAGAATTCAAGTTTGAGCAATCCGAGAATTCAAGTTTATCGGATGTGTCGTGTAATTTTGGAGCAAAATCAAGTCCATTTTTGCTGAGCGCTTGCATTAAGCATCATATAAAGAAATTTGAAGACATCCATCCCAGAACTGTAGAAATGTTAGAAAACTTCATGTATGTTGACGATTTTATTTGTGGATCAGATACGGAGGAGGAAGCTATACAGATATATCATGAAGCCAATGATATAATGAAAAAGGCATCAATGACTTTGACCAAATGGAATTCTAATTCGGATACTGTAAAAAACCAGTATAAATCAAGTGACAACTTCGTTAGCTTTAAATTGCCTGACTGTGATTCCCCCTCAAAGATTCTTGGACTTCAATGGGATACAATTAAGGATATCTTCTGTTTTAATGCTAAAGACGTTATTGATTTCATCCAGTCAAATGACCAAACAAAACGTTGTGTTTTAAAAGCTGCTTCAAAAATCTTCGATCCTGTTGGGTTTCTTGCTCCATATGTTATTCAAGCAAAAGTTCTGTTTCAGGATTTATGGCTGAAAGGTGTTGATTGGGATGAAATTATCCCACCAGAATTGCAAGACAAGTGGAATAAATGGTATAGGCAACTATGTGATCTACCTAATATCCAGATACCTCGGTGGTATTTTCGTGATGTTGATGAAACGCCTGAAACACTGGAACTACATTGTTTTTGTGATTCATCTCAAAGTGCTTACGGAGCAGCAGTGTACGTGAAATTCCGTAGCTTAAAATATTGTGGAACAAGTTTAGTGATAGCCAAGAGCAGAGTGGCTCCCCTGAAAAAATTATCTTTACCAAGACTCGAGCTCATGGCAGCAGTGTTAGGTGCAAGACTTGTAACTACAGTCCGTGTGCATTTTCCTCAAGCTAAGATTCATTTATGGACAGATTCTCTTATTGTGCTTCATTGGATAAAAAACTCACCACGGCGATGGAAAACATTCGTACAAAATCGAGTGTCTGAAATTCAAGACAAAACATCCTCCGAGCATGTGGCATCATTGTCCTGGCTCAGATAATCCAGCCGATAAAATCACACGTGGTGTTAAAGTGAGTGATCTTGTAGTAGATCAAGTGTGGTGGCATGGACCTCCATGGCTTCATCAAGATGAAATAAATTGGCCTAAAGTGAACGAGCATTGTAACATAGTAGATAGTGCTGAAGAAAGAGTTGTGACTCAAGTTACTAGCAGTGTTCAACCCTTACAACCTGTGTTAAAAATAGAAAACTTTAGTGACTTAGGTAAACTTTCAAGAGTCACGTCATATGTATTTAGATTCATTAATAATTTAAAGTCACAGAATAAAGTGATTGGTCCTGTGACCAAAAATGAAATATGTAATGCTATGTGTTATTGGATTATCTTATCACAAGGTGAGTATTTTTTTGAAGAGTTGAATGATGTTAAATGTAAAAAACCATTGTCTCATAATTCCAAATTGTTTGGGTTAAATCCAGTAATGGATGAAAAGGGTTGTTTAAGAGTTGGAAGTAGATTAGTGAAATCATCATTAGATGTCGATGAAATTCAGCCTATAATATTACCAAATAATTATTTTTCTCGTTTAATTATTTTGAATTGTCATGAAAAGGTACTTCATAGTGGTGTAAATGAAACTTTAGTGCAAGTAAGAGGGAAATTTTGGATTTTAAAAGCTAGACGTTTTGTAAAATCTGTGTTACATGATTGTAGATTTTTGTAAAAAATATAATGCTAAAGCTGGACACGAGATATCGGCTCCTCTTCCAGCTGACCGAGT